AAGTTATAACATCGATGTTATGAAACTGACCAATCATAGCTATTACTCTGAAGAACGGAATGACTGTGATTGGCCAGTTTCATGTATCAATGTATAACTTCGGTATAATGCTGGATTCACACTGAATCCAAAGTGCGTCGTACGACGTTCTGCAACTAATCAGAAAACAGGATTCCGATGAATTTTGCTTCGTATCATCGGAATCCTGCTTTCTGATTGATTGCAGAGTATCGTACGACGCAAATCGGACGCAGTGTGAATCCAGCATAACCGAGCCGTATAAACGTTGTTATACAGAGAAATAGATGAACGGTATAAGAAGTTAGTTGAAAAGGATAGATAATATATCATTTTCGTTTTTACCAATGATCAAAAGTTTACAAAAAATCCTTGTTTAAAATATTCATGTGAAGTACATACGTGCTGACCCTGTAAAGTGAATAAAAATCAATATGTATTCTAGTCACGCGTAAAATCTGCTCGATCACGTTTGCTGCTCAATATTATTAATTAGATATCATATAGCACATAAATACTTTATATTTTAAACAATGATTTCTTGTAAACTGCGTGTGGCAAAAGAACATAGAGAAGTACATACGTTAGGCCCTGTATACAGTGGCAGAAATACCACAAACAATAATGATTCGATATAACATAATCATCAGCATTACGGACTCTCCGTTGAAAAAACGTTATGAGACCGCGCCTATCTATCGCGCGAATGTTCGACTCACTCGCACGCAGTGGTGCTCCGCGCGTGACACGGAATCGCGAACGAATTTCTGAGTCCTAGTAATGAATATTTCCTGGAAAGTACGGTCGCAGCATATTTCTTATAGTGCGACGCTCCAGAGATACACGTTCGCTCGCGATCCGGCGAGGCGGATCGGCTCGGCCGTTGAACGGTAGTAGGGAGAAAAGGAGGCGGCGCTTCAAAAATCGGCCCAATATGTGTACATCTTGCACACATGCAAGCGTTTCCTAGCACTGTTGTATAGCTTACGCATTCCCTTGCGCATCTTATGATGTAAAACTCCATTATATACAAGGTGTCCCATTTTAAACAGTACATTAAAATTTTTCGAAATATGGAAAAATATTTCTAACAGAAATTGTATGGTTTGGAGGGGGACATAAGAAGGTCCCATTGATTTGGCTTTGGGTGACGTTGTTAAGGTCAAGTCAAGGTCAAATCGATTTTTTTAAATGGAACATTATA